GGCTATTAGCAATCGGGCAGCAGATAAACAATAAAGCATCAGGTTTGTTTCTTTTGCATCTAAATCTTGCACAATACCTAAAAGAAACAACTGTGGAAGGAAAATAATCCTTTTTTTAAAAATCTGCTGTAAGTTCCACCATAATTGTACCCAGAAGGCCTTAATAACCTTACAAGTCCACCACATATGAAAAAAGGTTGCATCTGGATGACCACACCTCCAACACTTGGATTCATAATTCGGATAGATACGAGACATAGTTGAGGGATCCAAGTGCCATCTATAAAACATCTTATAAAAATTTTCATGTAGATTTTGTGCTTGTGTAAACTTCACATTTCTCACCCAGATCAACTCCCAAGTATCCATAGGTATTGTTTCTCCTATATTTTGAGCCCATTTAATCATACAGTCTTTAACTAGTTCAGTTTCTGAGTCCAATTCTAATAAAACATTATATATCCTCTTGATATGAGCTTTGGCACCATCTCTTATTTGCTTCAAAAAAATCCCATCTTCCAAAACAAAGGTAGTCTTTTTATCAATTCGCCATCTATCTTGAATTTGTCCATACAAAAGCCAAGAAAAATTTGGGTTGTTTTGCTTTAACACATCTATTGATTTTAGGCACCAGTTACCACCACCACTCTGGTATAACAAATCTTTATATGTAAGTCCCTCCATCACCACTCCTCTAGTTATAGCTTGAAAAATATGCGACGGAATCACCCAGAGTGGTAAGATCCTAATGAAGTATTAACAGATAGAGCAGATGATTGGGAGAGGAACTCTGCTGGCAGTGCATCTATCCCTGCAGCCACAAGAAGAGATTTCTGCTCCCAGCATCTGAGACGTTTTGAGCATCTCAGGAATTATAACCTTTCCATGGTGTGAAGCTACAAGCTGCCTCTGATCACTCACAAGTCTTTGCTTGTACAGGCTATTTAAGGCAGGTCACCAGGTTAATCCCATTTTGGGGTGTGTACAGTCCCCAAAATTGTATAGCCACGTTGGCCACAAGACCACAAAAATGTCTTCGGACAAGGCTGGCTCCCTCAGCTAAGGAAGGGAAGTCGGACACAACTGGACATAAGAAAACCTTCACCTTTTGTACCCAAGAATCTGATCTACTAACAGTCAAGGAGAACTGGCACCAGATAAGAGTCCAAGGAATTCATAGAGGGCTGGGCTGAGGTCTCTCCAAAACTGATGATGCATTTGACCCTTCCCTCAGGCTCTGCCTGGCCATCTCCTACATCATCCCTGCTCCAGACGCTTGGCTGAAGCCACACCTGAAAGAAATTCTGGCTAGTGGAGTGAAGGAGAAGAGCCTTTTCTGCTGATGCTCTACCTTGTGGAACATTCTGCCACCGGAGAGGAGTACTGCTCCCATCCTTTTGGTCCTCCAGAAGGATATCAAAACTGATGATGCATTTGACCCTTCCCTCAGGATTCTCTCTCCCTCTCCAGGAAGACTCCTGGGTCATCCATTCAATGTGACTGGGATGGAATTAGAGGGGTGATAAGACCATTTCAAGGAGGAGAAATGTGTTGGTGGAGAAGGTGGCTTGTCTCTGAAGGGGGCAATCTCTCCTTAGCCATGGCTAGAGGCTTGAGAAGCCATGCTGGGGCATTGGGGGGTGGGTGAAGTTTGCAGAAAGATTTCTGCTGCAACACCAACTATGCATAAAGCTTCTCCCGTTAGCTCTAATCCTCATTTTGAGAGAGTCATTTTGTGTCTGTGTGAGATCAGAAGACATTGTCTCTTTGCTTAATTAATAAACTACCTCCCCCTTCTGATCCGCACACTGTCTCTTTGACTCTCCTCTCTCCAGATCCAGACATCTTCAGAGATTCTCAATCATCCAGGCCAGGGGTAGGCAACCTTGGCTCTTTTATGACTCATGGACTTCAACTCCCAGAATTCCTGAGCCAGCCTGGCTCAGGAATTCTGGGAGTTGAAGTCCATGAGTCATAAAAGAGCCAAGGTTGCCTACCCCTGATCCAGGCCATGTTGGTCCCAAAAGGAAAGTGAACTTTCTTAGTTTTTTCCCCTTGGAAACATTTTATTTCTCATCTAAGAAGCTTCTTCTGTTCCGAAGAAGACTGAAGAACTGAAGAAGTTTCTTGGACAAAAAATATTTTCAAAGAAAAAAAAACAAACCAAGAAACGCCAGTTGTCTTTTTGGGACATCCTGATCCAAATGTCCATCAGCTCATCCTCTGGACTCTCTCCTTCCCTCCTCCCCTCCGAGGCTCGCCTACTGCACCACCGAGATAGAAGCCTTTCCCAATTTCTTCTCAATGGGTGTAGCTTATTCAACAAAAACACCTTTTCTCTTTTTGGAGGGCCGGGGAAGAGGAAGGGGAGAGAAAACTTTGCCCCATCAGGCATGAAAAGGGGCCAAGCTTCTTCTCACTAACAACATACAATTTGTGCATCTTCCAGACAAGGGCTGGCATTGAGGTGCATCTCAGATGGTTAGTCCATGCATTCATTCCCCCCCCCTACATACCTTTTCTCCAGGTGGATCTGAGACTTCTTTGCTCCTTGTCTTCTTCACCTGGTGAGAGGCTCCTGGATGAAACTGGTAAGTGTGAGCTTCTTCTTTCTTTTTCCTCCCTCTTGCAAACTCCCCAGTAGACCTTTCTACCTTGAGGAGGGTTTTGGCTTCTTGCTCTCAGCCTCCTTGAGACATCGGAGGTCCCATATCTGCCCTACACTCATCCTGTGTCACACAGAGAGCCAAATGCTTGCAAGAAAAGGGAGACAAGATTTTTATGGCACCTAACATGTCCCTGGAGATGACTTTCATCACAAAGCAGAAGAGCAAAGTATCTAATGTGCTTCTCACTCGGGAGAACCTCGCGTTAAACTTTGGGATAAATGGCAAAGGGTGTGAACGAGAGGTCAGGAACTCGGAAAAGTGTACAGCGGGGTTCATCTATTTATTTGTTCAATTTATGTGCTGCCCATCTCCCTGATAAGGGGAACCTTCTAAACACTAAAAAGACAAATATAAAACAATTTAAAAATTTAAAGCTTCATAAAAATCTAAAACCAAGGAAATGGACAGTATGGGAATGAGATCTTCATCATACCTCATCAACCACCTCCAGTGGTGAGTGCCCCGCCTTTGGGCCTCAAGCCTGGAAGGACAATGTGATCTGGAACTGGGAGAACTTTGAGATCTGTCATGGTCAGATCACATTCTGATTACCACAAGGTTCACCAGTGCTATTGTCCATCACAGGGAGACAGGATCTATTAGATTGGCCTCACAGATGGACCTAGATAGGTGTCGGGAGGAACTGAAGGCTGTTCCTAGTGGTCTGCTGTATCCTCCATGTGAGGTCTCGGTTATTGCTTGGAACAAGAGGGCCACTGAGGCACTGGATTGGGGTGCTCCTATGCGACCTTTCTTGTCTTTTGGATCCCATCAATGCCCACAGTTTACAGAAGAGTTGAGGACGATGAAATGACAAAAGAGACGTTTGGAGCATCACTGGGGCTTTACAAGGAACAAACTCAACCAAACATGGGCAAGAGCTGTTATTAAGGTCTACTACATGGTGGTCATTAAGGTCTATTATTAAGGTCCACTACATGGTGGTCAGAGTGATGAAGTGACAATATTTCTCCAACCTTGTTGTAGGAATCCCACGGACCTGTTACGGGTGACCTTCTGTTTGGTTGAGCTCATCCCTTGTTCCAAGCTCAAGCCAAGATCATTGTTTTCTTGCAGAACTTCAGAATAGAAGATTAGCAGTACTGGATTAGTCCAGGATCTGGCTTAGATCAGTATTTGGGTTCTTACAGGAGCTGACCAGCTACCTCTGAGATGTTCACAATATGATATGGAAGTGGAAAGAAGAGAATATTTGTAGGTTGAACTATGAGGTCCTTGGTGTTCTCTGAGCTTGGTGGTTTTCTTGAAGATGAATCATTACCAAACTTGGCAAAATCATCAGTGTTAGAAGGGAGGGGAATTTGCTTCTGGCATTCCCTACTAGCACTGATGATGTTCCCTAGTTGGGTCACGAAACATCTTCAAGAAAATAACCAAGTTCAGAGGGCACCAAGGACCCCACAGTCGTCGTCGTCATCGTCCTCCTCCTCCTCCTCCTCCTCCTCCTCCTCCTCACATTAATGATATACCATAGTTAGGTCATAAAACATCTGCAAGAAAACAAGCTCAGAGAGCACCAATGACCCCACAGATATGGAAATTCTCCCATCTTTCCCCATTGTCCTTTTACATCTGGATTGGGAGACAAAGAGGAATAAAAGCCAACAGTTTGGGAATATTTTTATTTATGAATCTAATTTATACAGTCTCTCATCTGTCCAAGAAATTCCAGGTGCTGAACAAGATAAATAATAATAATAATAATAATAATAATAATAATAATAATAATAATAATAATAATAATAATAATAATAATAATAAAAACAACAACGGTTCGCTTGGAGCCCTAACCTACTGCTGGGTTTTGAATGAGTTTTTTATTCAGATGCAACATCCCATCCACAGGGAGTCCTTGACTTAACAACAGTTCATTTAGTGGCCATTCAAAGTTACCACAGCACTGAAAAAAGTGACATGACCCTTTTTCACACTTATGACCGTCACAGCCTCCCCCTGGTCACGGGATCAAAATTCAGACGCTTGGGAACTGACTCGCATTTATGACCGTCGCAGTGTCCCAGGTCAGGTGGTCCCTTTTTGCAACATTCCGACAAGCAAAGTCCCTGGGGAAGCCGGGTTCAGTTAGCAACTGCAAGGATTCACTTAACAACTGTGGCAAGAAGGGTTGTAAAATGGAGCAAAGTTCACTTAACAGATGCCTCACTTAGCAACAAAAATTGGGGGCTCAATTGTCGTAAGCCGAGGACTCCCCGTACTCACGATCTTACAACAATCTCCATTTCTTTTCTCTTGAGGGTGGTTTTGCAAGTGCCCTAAGATAGTCTACCGCAGTTCATGTGCACCGCTTTCATTTTTCTTGGGGAGCAGGAACACAACGTAAATTCAACAACACACACATGGCCCCAAATGAAGGCTAGGTCACCTTCTGGCAGACAAGAATCTTCTTCATGGCCCCCTTCACCTCCGTGTTGCGCAGGCTGTAGATCAAAGGGTTCAGCAGGGGGTTGATGATACAAAACATGGTGGAGATCAAGGTGTCCACCTCCAGAGAGTAGCCAGCACTGGGCTGGTTGTAGTTGACAAAAGCGTTTCCAAGGCAGACAATTACGACAGCAAGGTGTGAGGCACAAGTAGAGAAGGCCTTGCGCCTGCCGGTGTTGGAACGAATCCTCAAAATGCAGGCCAGAATGTAGACGTAGGACAGGACGATGAAGAGAACAGGGACGAGGCCCACAAAGATGCTGGTGACGTGATTGGTCAATTCGTTGACCCAGGAATCACTGCAGGTAATTTTTAAGAACGGGGGCACATCACAAAAGATGTGAGGAACATTGTTGTTTCCACAAAAGTCCAACCTGGAGGCCAGAGCAATGTGTATGGCTGAGTCCAGGAAGCCCCAGAGCCAAATGGCCACAGACAGCTGGACACACAACTTGCCCCTCATCAGGTGGGCATAGTGCAAAGGTTGGCAGATGGCAGCGTAGCGGTCATAGGCCATGATGGCCAGCAGGGCTGGCTCACATCCCGCAAAGCCAATCAGGAAGAAGGCTTGGGCCAGGCATTGGTTGTAAGAGATGGTGTAATCCTGGCGTAAGAGGTTCACCAGGATCTTTGGTACCACCACAGAAGAAAGGCAAACATCCAAGCAGGAGAGCTGGCTGAGGAAGAAGTACATGGGGGTGTGAAGACGGGAATCCAGGAGAACCAGGGTTATGATCATGAGGTTGCCCAACAGAGTGACCAGATAGGCAGTCAGGAACACCAAGAAAAAATGGACGTGGTGTCTCTGGAATATGGAGAAGGCCAGGAAGATAAATTCTGTCTCCTGTGTTTGGTTGTGGGCATCCATCAGGAAGAAAATAGACAGCTGGGAAGAGAGAAATGGGCATGTGGAGAAATTAGAATTAACTACAGGGTAAGATGAGTTAGATTGTTGAGCTGGGGGAGCAGAACTTATTTCTCCTCCTGCATTCTTGGGCTTTGGCCTGCTGAGAAGCTCTGAGGAACATCCCTTCCAAGCTCTGCATCAGAACCACATTCCATAAAGAGGACAAGTGACTTATCATGGGAAGAGGACCCAGTATGGAATATAGATGGTCTGTGGAAGAAGTAGCAGTCCTTCCATCCTGCCTTCTCCAACCCTTGTGTCCTGAAGGTGACATTATGACTCTTTAAGCTGGACCAAAACATTTTGATTTTAGTCACTCAGAAAGTCACAAGCCTACAGACAGACAGGATAGTGGGACATCTTAATTTTCCAGTGGGTCCTACTCCTTTCCCTGGCAACTGATCTTCTGCCAAAGAGCACCCACAATTCATGGAGAAGACTGTGAAGAAGATCCACGTTCAAGATGCGTGTATCTAGTTTTGGTTGCTGCAATAAAAAAAAAGATTTTGAGACTCTAGAAAGAGTACAAAGAAGCAACAAAGATGATAGGAGACTGGAGGCTAAAATGTATGAAGAACGGTGGCTGGAATTGGGTATGTCTAGTCTAAAGAAGAGAAGGACAAGGGGAGACATGATAGCAGTCTTCCTGTATCTCAGGGGCTGCCCCAAAGAAGAGGGAGTCAAGCTACTCTCCAAAGTGCCTGAAGGCAGGACAAGCAACAGATGGAAACTCATCAAGGAGAGAAGCAACCTGGAACTAAGGAGAATTTTTTTGACAGTGAGAACAATTAATCAGTGGAAGTGCTTGCCTCCATTGTGGGTCGTAGGTGCTCCATCACTGGAGACTTTTAAGAAGAGACTGGATAGCCATTTGTCCAGAATCATATAGGATCTCCTGCTTGAGCAGAGGGCTGGACTAGAAGACCTCCAAGGTCCCTTCCAGCTCTATTCTATTCTATTCTATTCTATTCCATTCCATTCCATTCCATTCCATTCCATTCCATTCCATTCCATTCTATTCTATTCTATTCTATTCTATTCTATTCTATTCTATTCTATTCTATTCTATTCTATTCTATTCCATTCCATTCCATTCCATTCCATTCTATTCCATTCTATTCTATTCTATTCTATTCTATTCTATTCTATTCCTCTCTCACTTTATTTATATCTATTGTATTCTAAGCATTTATACTACTTTGATGCTAGAAGGTGCTTGGAAAGCAATTATACTGCTCAAAAAATAAATAAAGGGAACACAAACATATAGGATCCTATATGTTTGTGTTCCCTTTTATTTTTTTGAGCAGTATATTTTTGGATTTCCTCTCTTTTATTACAAGCATGCATGCTTTAAACACTAGACATTTCTTCAGCACCTGCAGTGTTAGGTAAAAAGAGTAGGAAAACACATCTGGATAGGTTTCGGACAGCCAGGTTTGAACCCTAATGTCAAGGCAATGAAAGTTGCAATAGTAATATTTATAAGATTTTGGCATGTTTAACCTAAAGAGGAGAAGGCTAAGCAGAAACATATTAGCAGTCTTCCAATTCATGAAGGACTGCCCCAGGACAAGAAGCGATGGATGGAAAGTAATGAAGGAGAGATTCAACCTAGAGCTAAGAGGAAATTTCTCCAAGGAGAAATTAATTGTTAGAACAATTAAACAGTGGAACAACCTGCCTCCAGACGTTGTGGGTGCTCCAACACTGGAAGTTTTAAAGAAGAGATTGGACAACCATCTGTCTGAAAAGGTATAGGGTTTCCTATAGGCTATAGATTAGACTAAAAGACCTCCACAGTCCCCCCCAACTCTGTTATTCTGTTAAGTATGAGAACCAACAGGTAGAAGCTTAAAAGAGAGAGATTCAGACTCAAAATAAAGAGGATTTTTTCTGACTGAGATCTATGAAGCAGTGGAACCGCTGTGTTCTGGAGTTGTGGGGACTCTATCTCTGGAGGTCTTCTAGCAAACATTGGACAGTCTGTGATGGTCTGATCTGGACAGGGGGTTCAATTAGAAGACCTGCAAAGTCTCTTCCATCCCTTTGATTCTATAATTTTTGAAGAGGCAGATTTTTTTGGTCAAAGCCTTTATTTAAAGCAAGTCCTAGGAAGTTACATAAGGCTGGACTGTCAGTGGTTATAGCTGTCTTTCTCAACAAGTCATCAGCAAGTCAGAAGTTTCTTGGATGAGAAGCGAAATGTCTTCAAAGAAAAACAAGAAGGTCCAGTTGCCTTGTGAAGAAGCACCTTTGGGGCAACCATGACCTGGATGATGGAGAATCTCAGCAAGAGGAAATATTTGCCACTTCTGAGGTCTCCTAAACAGAGATTCTGAGGAGGAATTGGGTTCCTCTCCTTCTCAATGTCAACCTCTCCTTGCAACACCTCCCCAAAAGAGGATGCTGGATGGACCATAGAGCAGCTCACCTTTGCTGGTTATCCCAGCTGGAGAAGACCAGCTGGGGCTCAAGTAGAGTCATGTTCTGCCCATCTTCTCCCACAATGAGATGAATGCTGGCTCAGCCAAAAGTCTGCCCACAGAGCAGGAAGGGAGATGCTTAGAAGCTTGTTCTTACAAGAGAAGCAAGTCTCTCGGTTGTCTGTATGAACCACGGTAGATGATGGTCTTGGGGGAAAAATGTTCCTTGGTGTACGGGCCCTAGGAATATTCCTGTCCTGGATCCTACTGGGAATAGAATTAGGAGGAGAAGCAGCAGAGATCCTCTGGGACCAAACTATTTTACTTGGAGACAAGTGAAGCCAGATATCCTAGACAGGGAAGTTTAGTTGTGTTGAGGGAGGGGTGAGAAGGAAGGGAGCAAAGCACAGTAAATATATATTTTTTTCCTTTCAGGTATGAAGTCTAACCAATGAAGAACAAATATTTGAGTTCAGTTATCTCCTTTGTTGTTAATTGGTGTCCTAAATTTCTTCTCCTCCCTGTAGCCTGGAATTGTCTGGTTGCCCCCATTTACTTTAGGTACCAGAAGGTCCTACTGCTTATATATATATAAAAATATCAGCCAATATGACTCCAATTTGGTACTCAGAACTCAAATAAATAACTGTGGTGCTCTCCGAGTTGGTGGTTTTCTTGCAAACATTTCATGACCCAACTAGGTAACATCATCAGTGTTAGAAGGGAGTGGGGTTTGTGAAGAGGAGGAGAAGGTGGTGGAGAAGGAGGAGGTGGTGGTGGAGGAAGAGGAGGAGGTGGAGGCGAGGGGGAAGAGAGAAGGAGGATTGTAGCGTCCTTGGTGTTCTCTGAGTTTGGTGGTTTTCTTGCAGACATTTCATGACCCAACAAGGCAATATCATCAGTGCTAGAAGGGAGTGGGGTTTGTAAGGAGGAGGAGGAGGAGGAGGAGGAGGAGGAGGAGGAGGAGGAGGAGGAGGAAGAGTAGTAGTAGTAGTAGTAATTTTTTTCGATGGCTGTCTTTTAAAAATAACTTGCAATGCACTGAAACCTCAAATGCAGACGATGGAAGCAATAAACAATGTATTTTCAATAAGTCAGTACCTTGTTTTATCTTATCCATCCATCCATCCATCCATCCATCCATTCATTCATTCATTCATTCATCCATCACATTTCTACACCACCACCACCACCATCTCACCTTACTGACTCTGAGTGATTTACAATAAAAAATAAAAAGTACAATGAAATGTACGGGGTGCGATGGCCCAGTGGCAGCCCAGGTTTGAGATCTGAGCACTGTCATGGTTCCGACAGATGAAACTCTTCAAAGAACTTCGAGGCATTGTTTACTTTAAATAATCTTTTATTCGAGTAGCATAGCATAGGAACTGGCATAAACGAAGCGAAAAACTGAATTCCCCTCCTCTGAGCACATAGTATCAAAGCACAATTCCCTCCTTCAATTAACTGTCATAAATCACATCCCCCAATTAGCTTGAAGCAAGGGCCCCCTCTCCAGTTCTCCAGCCTGCCAAGTCCTTATCAGCTCTGGTTACAATAACCTTGATTCTCACCCTAGGTCGAGTGTTGTTATGTCTAGCTGGACTCTCGTTCACATCCCCCCCTCCCAGCATCATCTAACTCTAAAAGCAAAAGGTAAAAGATGGCTACATTTCCATCTGTTGTCAATGCGGAAACATCCGATGTTGGCAGCGTTGACAAGCGCCATGCAATGACGTGAGTTCCCCTTACTTGTGCCAGCTCTGCCCACCTAGCAGTTTGAAAGCATGCAAATGTAAATAGATAAATAGGTATCACTTTGATGGGAAGATAACAGTGTTCCGTGCACCTTGGCATACAGTCAATGCTGGCCACCTGAACAAGGAAGCCAGTGGAAAGTGAGAACCATCAGAACGTGTCTGTTCTGATAAGGCCTCTCCTAGGTCCAGCTGCTT